CACCATCACCACTATCACCATCATCACCACCATCATCACCACCATCATCACCATCACCACTATCACCATCATCACCACCATCATCACCATCACCACTCTCACCATCATCACCACCATCATCACCACCATCACCACCACCATCACCACCACCATCACCACACCACCATTACCACCATCATCACCACCATCATTATCATCAGAGATTTGCCCACAAGAAACTCGTAGAAAGTTCTGGGGCCCCAGCTCCAGGATTTCTAAGGGAGTGTGAATCTGTGGGCAGCTCTTAGTGTGAAATGGCCCGACACCTAGAGTCGAGAATTGTGTCTGGAAGAGTCCCGTTTCAGGTACAAGCTTCGGGTTTGTGCGTGTAGTTCATGGAGCCGGAGGAGAGAATGTGTGCTCCTCACGTGTCCGTGTGTCAGAAACCCAGGAGCCTTCTGGTCTGAGGGGATTTCAGACTCACAGGAAGAATATATAAGGGGGTCCTTTAACAAGTCCCCCCAAAAGTCCCGGAGATACCCAGGCCCTTGAGCCTGCTCCGCCACTGAGCTGCACGCTCCATCAGCAGGCTAATTCTTTTTTAAATGGTTTATTTTTATTTTACACACACTGATTGGCGTTCTTCCGCCTGCATGTATGTCTCTGTGAGGGTGTCAGACCCTCTGGAAATGGAGTCACAGACAGTTGTGAGCTGCCATGTGGGTGCTGGGAGTTGAACCTGAGACCTCTGGAAGAGCAGCCAGAGCTTTTAACCACTGAGCCATCTCTCCAGCCCCTGTAGCTTAATTCTTTTATAAAAATCATTTATATGTATGTGTCTGTGTGGATGTATGCCACATGCGTGCAGGTGCCCACAGAGACCAGAAGGTGCCAGGTGCCCCGGAGCTGGAGTTACGGGCAGCTGTGAGCTCGGAGGTGGATACTGAGAATCAAGTTCCAGTCTTCTGCTATTCTTAACCACCGAGCCCATCTCCCCAGCCCGTAGTTAAATTTCCTCCTGGCTGTTTCAGACAAGGTCTCATGTAGCCCAGGCTGGCCTTGAGCACACTATCTAGCCGAGGGTGACCTTGAACTCCTGGTCCTCCTGCCTCACCCTCCTGATGGCTGGATTTCTGGTGTGCAGCGCCACGTTCGGCTCTTTTTCCAGACTAACTCTTAACCGGCTCCAAGGGAAACCAAGTGAGTCCCTCAGAGGCCAGCATCCCGTGAAACAGTGATGGAGCTCCCGTCAGACCTGGGAGTGAGATGTGTGCTTCCCTGGAGAGGCTCATGGTCCCAAGAAAGCATGCATGCTGCGCTCACAGCCCGAGTTCAAGAGCTGCTACATGCTTCGGGCTCAGGTAAGATCGACTGGACCTGACACCTTGGGGGTCTTGTAATTTTATCTCTAGCCATCTTCTGTCAGATCTGGCGCCTGGGATTCCCCAAACCCAGGGCTAAGGAAGCAGGTCTCTGGTGGGGATTGTGTGTGTGTGTGTGTGTGTGTGTGTGTGTGTGTGTTAGCTCTCTTGTGAGCCTGTGTGAAGGGGAAGAGCTACAGAGAGAAGCAAGAAGAGAACTGGCAGGCGCCATGTGTACCTGGTGCACGCTCCCAAATCCAGCCGTGCTGGTCAGTCCGTTGGCGCCTTGATAGAGCCCTGTGGTGCCTGTAGGAAGACAGGACAGGTTAGGCTTCCTCCGTGACCCCCGTCAGGGAGGGAGAAGGAGAGGCAGATGCGGCTCTCCGGCCTGGGGTGGGGGTGGAACCTGTTACCGAGCCAAGGCTTCTTGACCTTGGCTGCTTTCCTTCTTCTTTCTTTCTTCTTTTAAATTTTCATTTGTTAATTTTTATGTGCACTGGTGTTTTGTCTGCATCTCTCTCTCTCTCTCTCTCTCTCTCTCTCTCTCTCTCTGTGTGTGTGTGTGTGTGAGAGGCTGTCAGATCCTCTAGGACTGGAGTTACAGACAGCTGTGATGCTGGGAATTGAACCCAGATCCTTTGGAAGAGCAGCCAGTGCTCTAGTAAATGAGGAAAAGAATATTTTTCGAGGGAGTAAGGAGAGCCGTAAATGTGACCCTTCGCACAGCAGTGTCAGCCTGCTTGCTGCGGGTTTTGAAACATTGTTTTATTCTAGTGCGCCTGTGTGTGTGTGTGTGTGTTTAATAAATTATTTATTTATTTACTTTTTTTTTTATGGGGGACAGGGACAGGGTTCTTTGTGTAGCCCTGTCTGTCCTGGATCTCTAGACCAGGCTGGACTCCAATTCAGGGGTCTGCCTGCCTCTGTCTCCCAGTGTTGGGATTAAAGGCATGTGCTGCTATGCTCAGCCCCAAATTATTATTATTTTTTGAACTGTGGTAAAAAGGATGGAACATTTTATCCAGTTTAAAGTGTACAGTAAAGGGCATTAAATGCATTTATACTGTGTTTCAGGCTCATAACATCTATCACTAAGACTTTTTTAGAACATTCTGGAAAATCTCCAGCCTCTTGTAGAATGGGAACCCTATACACATGGAAAAAACCATCCTCCCACCGCCCCTGGTAACTGCCATTCTGTTTGCCTATGGGTTCCGTTAGTAGAATCATCTAGGATTTGTCTTTTCGTGATGGCCTCTCACTTCCTCCTCCTGTCAATCACCGTTCTCATTTTCTCTGTGGAGGAATGCGGGCTGAGGACTGTGGCTTGTGTAGGGTCCCGGGGCTGACAGGCTGTACATCTGAGAGAAGCTTTATTCACTCTCAAGTTCAAGCAAACAGATCCTGTGGTGTAGGGGACAACCCAAAGCATAATAGATGTCTCACTGGGGGCAGTAGAGGCGAGACTGGTGTAACACCCTCCAAACTGCTCCACAAAAATCACCCCCAGCCCAGAAATCCACACCCAGAGACCCGGCTCTTCAGGCATGCCGGGGAAACAGGCAAACACAAGCCACTGAGAACCCTGGGGTCTGTTCTGGAAGTTCTACCCCAAGAGCAAGAACAAGGGGGCACTCATGGGGAAGGAACAATTAGTGACAAAGGGAAGGAAAGGGATCAAAATGTGGCTGGATGAAGCAGTTTCCAGTGGCCCCCTCCCAGGGTCTGATAGACACCCAACACACACTGGGTCCTTTGCTAAACTGTCATCAGCGCTTAGCAACACTCTACAAATGGGTTTCCTAACTGAGTAAAACGCGAGCTTCCAAAGTTAAATCTGCGTAGGTAACCCTGCGCCCATCTTGGATCACGCTGGGAAAGAGGAACACTGAGGAGCTAGGCTGCCCAGGCAAGCCAGACAGGGCTCTGGGAAAAACAACCAGGCCAAAATTCCCAAGCCTGCCTGGCTCCCACGGAGGCCTCTTGGACCGTCCTCCAAGGAGCCACACAGCAGGCAGCTTTGCCCTTTCCCCTCGTAAACTTAATGTCAAGTTGCGTCTAATGCAACAGGGTAACAGACTGGATTGTGGGTAAGGGTAGATTCTGAGAAAGCCTCCGCCTATTCCAGGAAGGAGACCACCCAAGACCGACCCAGGGGTGAGCAGGGGAGGGGCGTGGTGGCAGACACAAGGCCAGACACTGGCGGCAGCCCTTGGCCTCTGCCACAGGCTCAGCCTGCCCTTCTGGAGGAGGCGGGGGGAACTCTGTTTTCTCACGTGCAGAAATAACCATGCCTACCTGCTCTCTACCTACACATCCAAGAGAGATGGCAGGAGGTGTCTCTCCTCATCTCTAACACTTCCATCAGCCACCTCCGAAGGACCTGGATGGTGCCTGGACAAAGGGTGGGGTCAGGGAAGGCTTCATTTGAACTGAGGTCCAAAGGAGGAAGAGGAAGTAGCTGGACAAAGAAGAGGAGGCAGACACACCAGGCCTCTCTCCTGCCTTCCACTACACGGTGGCTCCTTACTCCTAAAGGGCACAGATCTTATCCTAGTGTGACCCACTCGGATCTACTCTGACCCACGGAGATCCCACTCTGTCCTCGAGGCTAGCCTGCATACAAGAAGCCTGGGAGGAAAGTCTAGGCTAGCCCATTCCTCTCAAGGTCATGTCTTAGGTCCTGGTTGAAGGGACTCTGGCCACCTCGAGGGTGGCAAGCCTGTGTCTCTTATCTCTACCCTCTCTCCTTCTGGGGCAAAGAAATCTCCTCGGCGCTGAGAACTTGGTCCAGAGGATCCTCAGCCAATACCTTTTCTTTCACTGGTTACCCTGGTGACCCTCCCTGCCCCAAGATGACAACCAGCTCCAGTGTTCTCCTTCTATTCTGCATGAAACTAAGGATGACTTGGGGTAGACCTGAGGAAGGGTGGCCACAGCCAGGCCCTGGCTCTTTCTCTAAACAGCTCTGTGTTTATTTTTACTTTGTGACTCAGGGTCATCTGGAGAATGGAGAGCCGAATAAAGCAGGCCCCGCATGGAATCCCTCCTGGGCCGGAGAGGACCCCAGAAAGAGGTGGCATGAAGTCTGGGGCCGCAGTGCATGGGACCTGGAAAGGTTTCACAGGCTCATCTTGATGGCGGGTGTTAGACGCAGACATTGCTGGCTGGGACAATGCGGTAAGGGATAGGAAGGCAGGAGGCTGGCAATGCAGGTCCTGCCGGAGGCCCCCCCCCCCTTGCCTTCCACCCTCTCTCAGAAGCAGAATGCTCTCAGCTAGACACAGGCTGGTTAGAATAAGCTCTGCAACGCCCAGCCTCTTTTGTGGCTAGCTGTGGCGATGTGACAGGTTCTAGACAAAAGGAGAGATACAATGGGCCCTGGTTGTGCCCTTAAAGGGAAGACAGGGCCTAGGGATCTTTCTGTATCAACCTTCCCGGTGCTGGGAATACAGGCAGTGCCGCTGTGCATGGCTTTTTATGGACGTGCTACGGATTTGAACTCAGGTCCTCATGCTTGCATGGCCTACATTGCTTTGCCACCTCACACGGAGATGCTAACGAAGTGATTCATTCTATGGTCCCTTTTTCTTATTTTCCCCACCTCTTTTCATTGATTTATTTTCTATCAATTCCCATCACTCACAAGCAGTAACTGTGAGGTGTCTGAAACTGTTTTTCTCTGTGGTTTTTTTTTGTTTGTTTTGTTCTTTTTTATATTTTTATTTTTTTTTTTTATTACTATAAGGAAACACTGGAGGCAGGTTACTCTATAAGGAAAAGAGGTTCGATTAAAACCTTAGGCCCAAAGTGCAAGATCAGGCTGCTAGATGAATGAGGAAGGCTCTTCCTTTTGGGGGCGGGCGTTGAGACAGGGTTTCTCTTTGTAGCCCTGGCTGTCCTTTAACTTGCTCTGTAGACCAGGCTGGCCTTGACCTCAGAAATCCACCTGCCCCTGCCTCCCGAGCACAGGGATTAAAGACCTGTGCCACCACCGCCTGGCTGAGGAAGGCCCTTTTGATAGATACCATGATGGCTGAGAGTGTGTGTGTGTGGAAATGAAAGATCCCATCAGCAGGCAGAGAACTGGGTGGCCATGCTGGCTCTTCTATGACCCGCTTATATCTAGCTAATTGAGGGGTCCCATGAGAGCCACCCTCCGAGGGCAGACAACTATCTGCAATGTATCTGGGGGAGAGAGGAGCAGAGCTGGGTGAAGGGAATGCAGAACTTGTGTAAAGAAAATAAAGTTGATGGGAGAAGGAGCCCCAGGAGCCCCACGCACCCTGGGTCCTAGACACCACCCACGGTCCAGAAAGCCACAGACTCTCCTAAGTACCCGTGTTCCACTCCTTTGTGTGCATGTTCACAAGTTTGTTAAAGATGCTTGTGTATTTTCTAAGTATACAGAAAGCTTTTGGAGATTTACATATATGTCTCAGGACACTTGTACCCAGTAGGTAAATTACATGAAACAACAAAAAACCCCAACTGATCCTTTGTAAAAGACCTTGACAGAGAGCTTTTACAAACAGCAAGCAGAGGGGAGTGTCTGCGTGTTTACAGTGTGTAAGATGCTGATTCTCCCGTATCATAATGGCCTCAATCATCTCTTTCCTGGGACTGAAGTTTTGTTCTCAATAACCAGTGTTTTCCAAATGTACCTACCTGGCGTCCTAAGCCCAGTGTCCCAAACCTCAGGGTTTGGGAGAACGCCATTGGAAGTGTGATTAACCCCAACATGTTTTAAACTGCCTTGTTCAGCCTCACTTGAAGGCTGGGATACAGCAGGGAGGAAAGGGACAAAATAAAGAACCGTGTTTTAAATCCTAAAGTGGCTAGGGAAACACTTGTTAGTTCTGACTAGGTACCAGAGTTAAGCCTAAGGGTCTGGGTGACTGAAGAGCACAATAACTGGGGCTTACATCTAGTTCTTGAGATTAAAAATTTATCCTTTTTAATTATGCTTTGTCTATTCCCAGAAGGCAAAGCTTTGAAGAGTAAGAGCTGGAGGCCTGGCCCTGCCGAGGCCCCGCCCCACCTCGCCCTGGCCCTGCCTCCCACCTCAAGCCTTCATCCTGGGCATCCTTCATTCTCCCCTCCCCCAAACACTCACTGGTTGAATCTGAGGCACCTTCAGAGCCTTCAGAGCTTAGCGCTTGGAAGACAGCAGGGAACTCACAGGAAACTGATGATTTTCCCTGATGCCTGCAGATGAGCGGGTGATTTTTCTAAGCCCCAGTTTCCCTTCTGTACGATGGAGCTAAGTGTGTGTCACCTGGTTAGCATCTGACAAAGATTCTAAG